CGATTGTTTCCTTTGTATTTTTACCGTGAATTCATAGGTCCGGTTGTAATCTGCTGTAGATCTCCGTGGTCTGTCATTTGCTGCTTTGTTTTGTGGATTAGTTGTTGTTGTTGTTGGATGTGAACCTGGTGTTGTTGTTGGATGTGAAGCTGGTGTTGTTGTTGCAGCCATGGTTGTTGGTCTTTCTGTTGAATCCAGCTCTGGTTCTGGTGTGACAAATCGACCGCCACGGGTGCTCCCCACCAACACAGACCTCGAAGGAGGAGGGTCAGGGGGATGCAGCGGTGCTGTCACCACTCGAGGCACAGCCCCATGCAAAGCACCCAGAGGCACAGACTTAGGCACACCCGAGGGCTGCACCAACGGCGGTTCCGCACGCACCTCCAAAGAGCTGCCAAGCTCAAGCCCGTCCAACACAGATGTCAGAGGGGGAGCGGCAGACAGCGGCAGGGAACTATCCTGCCGTCTAAGTGATGGGTTTTTCCTAGGCCTCCCGCGTTTGGGCCTCTCAGATTGCGCACTGGGTGGAAGGATGTGAAGTGGAGTGTGTTGTTTGATACGTGCGTTCAGGTGCTGAACAGTCCTACCAACATACCGACTAGCACAATGTCGGCATTCGAAGTTGTAGATAACATGACTGAGGTGGAGGGTTGGTAGGCCGTCCTTCCACACCGTGAACGCACGCATTGTTGTGAAGACTGGCACAATATGTACTGCATAATAAGTACGACGGACGATAGACTTCGCACGTATCAAACACTAATAGTGTAAGTTTGTATCCCTGGTGATGTTTGTGCCTGGAGAGCACTATATAAGTGGTGCTCTTCAGGCACAATCTTCCTCAGCCTACTCAAGCTCAACTGATGAGGGGTGAATTCCCCGAAACACTGTGTATTGAGCAGGGAGTGGTGCTTTCTTGCAGGTTTGCCGAGTCGAAGGTTCGATGGACTTCTCGTGTGCTCTGGATGGCAGTCGTGAGTCAGTCAAGTGTCAAGTAAAGTCGGCGGAATAGCGCGAGCTCCGGTGTGGGGAGCAAACCTTTCTTACAAATCATCGCCGAAGTCGCAACCACTACTTCGTACTGTTGTGCCCAGCGCGGGCTTGCGACTAGTTGGTTTGGAGGTGACAGCGTTGCGAATGACCGAGGGTCCTCGACGTCTGTCTTACCGTCCAGGAGCGACGCTGACTCATGCTACTATCTGGTGTTCACGAGGTGTTTGTCGCGCTGGAAGCGGAGCGTCTCTGTAAGTTTGTATCCCTGGTGATGTTTGTGCCTGGAGAGCACTATATAAGTGGTGCTCTTCAGGCACAATCTTCCTCAGCCTACTCAAGCTCAACTGATGAGGGGTGAATTCCCCGAAACACTGTGTATTGAGCAGGGAGTGGTGCTTTCTTGCAGGTTTGCCGAGTCGAAGGTTCGATGGACTTCTCGTGTGCTCTGGATGGCAGTCGTGAGTCAGTCAAGTGTCAAGTAAAGTCGGCGGAATAGCGCGAGCTCCGGTGTGGGGAGCAAACCTTTCTTACAAATCATCGCCGAAGTCGCAACCACTACTTCGTACTGTTGTGCCCAGCGCGGGCTTGCGACTAGTTGGTTTGGAGGTGACAGCGTTGCGAATGACCGAGGGTCCTCGACGTCTGTCTTACCGTCCAGGAGCGACACTGACTCACGCTACTATCTGGTGTTCACGAGGTGTTTGTCGCGCTGGAAGCGGAGCGTCTCTGTAAGTTTGTATCCCTGGTGATGTTTGTGCCTGGAGAGCACTATATAAGTGGTGCTCTTCAGGCACAATCTTCCTCAGCCTACTCAAGCTCAACTGATGAGGGGTGAATTCCCCGAAACACTGTGTATTGAGCAGGGAGTGGTGCTTTCTTGCAGGTTTGCCGAGTCGAAGGTTCGATGGACTTCTCGTGTGCTCTGGATGGCAGTCGTGAGTCAGTCAAGTGTCAAGTAAAGTCGGCGGAATAGCGCGAGCTCCGGTGTGGGGAGCAAACCTTTCTTACAAATCATCGCCGAAGTCGCAACCACTACTTCGTACTGTTGTGCCCAGCGCGGGCTTGCGACTAGTTGGTTTGGAGGTGACAGCGTTGCGAATGACCGAGGGTCCTCGACGTCTGTCTTACCGTCCAGGAGCGACACTGACTCACGCTACTATCTGGTGTTCACGAGGTGTTTGTCGCGCTGGAAGCGGAGCGTCTCTGTAAGTTTGTATCCCTGGTGATGTTTGTGCCTGGAGAGCACTATATAAGTGGTGCTCTTCAGGCACAATCTTCCTCAGCCTACTCAAGCTCAACTGATGAGGGGTGAATTCCCCGAAACACTGTGTATTGAGCAGGGAGTGGTGCTTTCTTGCAGGTTTGCCGAGTCGAAGGTTCGATGGACTTCTCGTGTGCTCTGGATGGCAGTCGTGAGTCAGTCAAGTGTCAAGTAAAGTCGGCGGAATAGCGCGAGCTCCGGTGTGGGGAGCAAACCTTTCTTACAAATCATCGCCGAAGTCGCAACCACTACTTCGTACTGTTGTGCCCAGCGCGGGCTTGCGACTAGTTGGTTTGGAGGTGACAGCGTTGCGAATGACCGAGGGTCCTCGACGTCTGTCTTACCGTCCAAGAGCGACACTGACTCACGCTACTATCTGGTGTTCACGAGGTGTTTGTCGCGCTGGAAGCGGAGCGTCTCTGTAAGTTTGTATCCCTGGTGATGTTTGTGCCTGGAGAGCACTATATAAGTGGTGCTCTTCAGGCACAATCTTCCTCAGCCTACTCAAGCTCAACTGATGAGGGGTGAATTCCCCGAAACACTGTGTATTGAGCAGGGAGTGGTGCTTTCTTGCAGGCTTGCCGAGTCGAAGGTTCGATGGACTTCTCGTGTGCTCTGGATGGCAGTCGTGAGTCAGTCAAGTGTCAAGTAAAGTCGGCGGAATAGCGCGAGCTCCGGTGTGGGGAGCAAACCTTTCTTACAAATTATTATTATTATTATTATAATAATATCCTTAGCTAAAAAACAAAAGAATTTATAGCAATAAAAACTGCTTTATGGCAGTTTTCTAAAAAAGGTATTGTGTTCTAGTCCATTGACCCCGCCTAAAAAGTAAGAAATTAACGAAATGTGATAGCTGAAAATTAAAATTTCACAGAAAACCTCACAATAATCACACCTCTTGAGGATATAAATAAAAAATACTGCTTTCAACACTTGTTTAGTCTGACTAGAGTTCATCTTGGTCTGACACTTCACGGGTGACTTGTACGAGTATTGCGCCATAAAAATAAAAATAAATAAAAATCCCCGGTCAGATTTCAACCCGCCATGTGCACAAAATGAATGGCGCGTTTAAATGACGCATTGCGCTTGACCCGGCGACCCAAGAGGAGGGTTGAAATCAACCCGGGGCAAGAAAATCGAACAAACGTACTTCTGTGCGTACCCCGCGCCAGGTTTGAACGGCACTGCACATGCAAATTGTTTTTCCAGCTTGAGCTCATGAGCTCACGTATATATATTTTTTTCGGACATAACTAAAACACTCAATACTCAATTGAAATAATAATTATTATATAATTGAACCCAAAAGCTTCACAAGAACCACACGCACTCACTAGTAGATCTTTTTTTTTTGGCACATGCAAATTTCGCGCGAACAGATTCACGTGACTATACGGAACTGTAGATTCGTGTAGAAGTGGACTTTTGGCGGCATATCAGTATTTAATCCGGGTCAACTGTCTTCATGTAAACGCTCACCTCTTTTGTCTATCGTACAGACTTTCAACCCGGGCTGAACTCGACCCGGGTTGAAATTTCTCATGTAAACACAGCCACATTCAGTGCTACATGAAAAAGTACTCACCCTACGAAAACTGTTCGTGTATCTCGTACACCGGGCAAAGGTCAAGAACCACGAGTCGTACAGACCCGACAAAACGCAGGGCTTGTGCGATCCCTACCGGGTGGGCACTGTTGCGTACATTTCCAACGGGGTTGAGCACGCGTCTGCAGTACAGTACGAGTGCTCTCGTACGGCTTCACAGACTGCGACAGAGTCGTACGCCCGCCGACCGGTCCACTGCCACCGCCTTGTCTCTGCTTCTGCCGCACTGGCGGTTGCCGAGGCTAGGATTGACTAGTAGGGAGGTTCTGCTATACGTGAAACGTAGAGAAATCACGTAGAGAGCAGGTGTCTGGGTTAGAGTCTACGGCTTCGCGTGTTTTGGCTCCAGATTTCTACGCGGAGATGAGGTTCTCTACGTTGTGGCACACGCAGAGAAAATGCGTACGGATTTGCTGGGTATCGATCACTGCATGCAGAAAACTGCCAAATATGGAAGGGGAAAATCCCAGTACACATTCCACGTGACTTCTCTAGGTGAAACGTAGAGCAGAACAGGATTTCTTTACGTTACGGGAACGCGAAGAAAGTTCGCGTGATTCTTTGCGTCGCGTTCCCAAAACGTAGAGCAGAACCTCCCTAATTTATCGATTTCACTGTACTACTTTTTCTCTTTTACGTTTACTTTATACCAGGCGTGGGCCATCCATTGCCCTGTCAAGAGTACATGAAAACCAGAGTGTGCAGCTCGGATGGGTTGCTGTCACGGCGAAATTCCGTGATTACATCATTTTAGTGATGTAGTGCGTACAAGCAGGATTCAAGCAGGTCTCTTTCTGCACAACTGCAGCTCAGTTGTACGCACTACGCCATTTCCCGCCTCAGATCTGGGCCAAATATGATGTAATCACGGAATTTCGCCGTGACAGACACCAAGAGTACATAACCCCCGGGGTTATGTACTCTTGCAGACACCCATAGCAGAAAAGGCCCCAAGCTGCACACTCTGGTTTTCATGTACTCTTGCCCTGTACATCATCGTACATAGGTGCCAACATTATTCTTTTATAAAATTGTATGCTACGTTCAAAAAAACAGAGTCGTACGAGGATACAATCAATCACCTCCCTGGTAAGAAGTCAGGGAGGGGCGCTCTGGCGGGATTTTACGGTACCAGTATTTGCGGGGAGAACAAGTTTGCCAATCTGTTGGTCTTGAACCTGTTGGTCTTGAATCTGTTGGTCTTGAATCTGGTGGTCTTGATTTCCCAAACGTGTGTGTGGTGAGTGCTGTTTTCCACAAAGTATCAAGTGCTGGCGATGGTTGTTCAGTCTCTAGCTACAATAAGTCAGTCTCTCTTCTCTGCTTGCAGACCTTTTTTGGATCTCTTTGCTGACTTTGGTCAACTTAGCCTCCGTCTTCCTCCCGGTGAGTTTCTGCTGCTGTGGTTAGTCCCCTTTCTCATAGTCTATCTCTTAGGGCATGTTCGATTGGTAGGATCGGGATCCTGATCCACCGGATCCACTGGATTCGCACCCTTTCGATTGGTCGAATCCGGATCCGGATCCTTCGGATTTGGATCCGGTCAACCCACCTCGGGGAGCGGGGTTGACCGGATCCAACGGATCCAAATATTTAAATGGGACCTTTGTGCGTATATGGCGGGTAAAAATCATTTTTGTACACATTGTGGTACGAACACGTGGATGTAGATGGAGCTAGCTTGTTGACTTGTTGTACGATGCACGCGATGAGTACGACGTTCACCCTTTTGGGTGCCTTGTGAGCGCCATTTTCACCATGGCATGATGGCAAGAGTCAAGGTCCAAAACAAAGTGTTCAATTGAATCTGAAGGATCTGTGGGATATGAGATCTGGATCCTGATCCCGATCCTTACCAATAGGCCTTATGCACGTTGTACAGATGCACGAAATCCCGTAGAATCCCGTAGACCCGGTTGGGTGTTGAATGTGCAGGACCCTATTGTGTTTATTGCTATTTCCACAGCGAAATGGGCCCTGAAGGCATTTCATACGAACACTTTTTCGACAGTGATCTAGCGAGTCGTTGGTTCAATCTCAAAGTGAAGAAGCTGGAAAAGTGATTGTTCGCCGAGAATTATGAGGCTAAATGGGTCAAACACGCATGTATAGCACACAATGAACACCCAACTGGGTATGTACACACCTACGGCCCTAGTACAGAACTTCGTACATCTGTACAATGTGCATAAGGACTATCGAACATGCCCTAAATTTGCTGGCAAAAAATCCTATATAATTATTATAGGATTTGAAAATATGTGACCTGTATGCAGTTGTTATTGGTCATCATGAGCCATTCATGACCCATACATAATATTAATAAACAGCATGATGGTTTTCATACGGTAACTACAATGAAAGACTTTTTGGTTCTGCAAAAAACCAAGAAGATGATATGATCGGGGAACAACATTACCCTCCCCCGGGAAAAAATTCTAAAATTGAAGCCAATTGCAAGTATTCCCAGGTATTTGGTGCCATTTCAGTGTACATGGACTTTTGTTTCTGCAACAAACCACGATCGGGGGCAAGGATTTGCCACGTTTGCGCTGAGATCATCGCGCTTTGTTGCAGTGTGCTAAAAAAACGGCCGAAAAAGTGGGGCGGCTGGGTGTCCCGGCCGGTGCGGTTCCGACGCCCTTGTGGCTCCATGGCTGTGTGAGCTTTGATACCGGTGTCATTCTTGTATTCCATATGACGTGTGTTGATATGGTTCTCGCTGTCTGCAAGAACTATCAGCATGTATCTGGGTGTTGGGAAGAGGCTGTCGGCGCACGGGGTCCTGGTCGCCTGGGGTCAGCAAATTGTTTAAGGGACTCATCCCCACTCCATATTGCTCCTTGTAGTAGAGTATTGAATTGTGATATTAGGAGTGGAAATTGCTGACACATGTAAACTCCTTGCACCAAACACTACATTGTACCTGTATGAAACTCGTAATCACTTAGGGTGCGTTCGGTTGGTACGATCTAGAACAGGATCAAACAGCTGGTGCACATGGAGCAGCCTCATGCCAATCAAACGGTACTCCGGGAACAGAGCACATTTGTGTGAAAAAAATGTGCCAAACTTGGTGCATTCTTCATAATGTGTATGGGTCACCATGGTCAATTTGTACGGTACAACGAGTCCATCCCAAAAGCGTATGCACGCGATCCTTTGGGACCAAAATCGATGTTCCCGCCAGGTTTCACTGTGAAAAAGTGAAACTGCTCGGTCTGCTCCAGCCTCGAGGCCGGATCAAGCAGAACATGTTCGGGCCGACCTAGAACAGGTGCAGTCCCAACCAAACGCACTGTTCTGGTGTATTCTGTTCTAGTTCGTACCAACCAAACGCGCCCTTGCTATCTAGTATATACAGTTGACTTTCTTGCTTATTTCTTTTCAAAAGGTCAGCGCATTGTGGTCACTTGTAATCCAGGGCGTGATGCTGAGGGGGAAATCGTCTCGTCTCGAAGCGCTGTTGTTTAGCTCATAAAGAAAAAAAACGTTTGCTGCATCTCATGCAGGTTCACGTGGCTATTTCCCCGTATCACGAAGGTTTTTCTTCGGGTGCGCATTGCTGTTTGTTGTACAAAAGACGAAACACGCACACGAACTTCTCTTCATCGCCTCGGTGATTCAGTTAAACGGGAACTAGGCCCAATAACATGAAGGCGCTTCTTCTTTCCATGCTTCACTTCGTTGTGAGATTGGTTTCACGGAGGTGCACACTCTGGTTTATGTACTCTTGCTTGAAATGTTTATAGACGATTGTTCTAGATTTCAAATCTTTACCAGCGGGGGAAAAGCACGAGAAGAATTTGTGAGCTTGAGCAAATAACAATGTGTTGTCAGTCTGCTGGGGAAGATGCATTGAACTCCCGACACAACAAGAGCACAGTAATTTTAGTTATAATTCATACATTTACATTTTAATGGATACCTGACCGGTTTCTGCAATTAGAATGCTTCATCAGAGGATGAAGAATGAGGTAGAAAACACTAGCTTATATACATGTACACGGTAGGCATGAATTGGCATACTAGTAGTGTAAAGTGGAGAAGGTTGCTAGTCATGTTGCGCTATGCACCAGTAGCTGATCGTGTAGCAATGCAGTACTTGAAAATAATTGTCTTGGCGCAAATGTGGCTAATACACATGGGTAGCGTGAACCTTAGGAAATAGCTAGGTGAAAAGTTGTAAAGCTGTACAAAAGTAAATGAACCATAGGGTTGAACTAGGTGAAAGTTGTAGGTTTGTACAGATGTTTTTGGTTGGTTCCAGAAATTTCTGGAACCAACCAAAATGCAGAGCAAAGTATGCTCTGCCGTATGAGTGAACTAATAATTATTGTAAAAAAGCTGCTTGGTTTTTCTGAAGAAAATCTGACAATCAGTAAAAAGTGACTGTTTCAGAAGGGAGCGATAGTTTGCTCTGACAAAGTGCGGATGGTATGTGGTACAGAAAACATACTGTTTGTTCTTATGCACCCAGTTTGTAGCTTTATTTACAAATACTTGCGGTTTGGGCTCTACAGCAATGAATAGCGTACCCAGGAATTCGGGTGGATATCCTCGTTTTCTGAGTCTGAGCCAGAAAAGCTTGCGAATCTTGAGAATATCCTCTAGTAGCTGGTTTGTACGGTTGTACCGGATGAGCTCTGCATTGATAAATGATCTAAGATTAGACCGGGGGTGGTCTGATTTGAACGGGATGTATAAATATGCATTCCTGTCTTTCTGGAAAGTTCTGTAGGAGAATCTATCCGCATCTATCTTAAAAATTTCTAAATCTAGAAATACGGCTGTAGAAGAAACTTCAGACCAGATGAGCTTAATATCAGATAAATCGCTGTATACGACGGCATCAAATTTTATCCTATCGAAAGTCTTGCTAACAATTAAGCATAGATCGTCAATGAATCGTCCAAAAAAGTAAACTGATGAACGGAAACTTTGAAGAGCTTTTTTCTCGTGCATAAAAAGAAAAATATTAGCAACGTTGACGGCCATTGGGGTACCCATGGCCATACCGAACTCCTGATGGAAGAGCTTTTCCTTAAGGTGGGACACCACCTTCCAGGGGTCAAAAAATCAACTTTCGATTTGTCACCTTTTTGCTATTGGAAATCAAAGCATATGCCCTGAAGTGTCAGTATTCCAAATTTGAAGCGATTCGGACCAACCGTTGCAGTCATATGACCGTTTGAAATTTGAAAATATTTGAAAAATTTGTACACATCGATGTTCGTACACTAAAAAGTTGAAAAATGTTGTACACATCGCGATGCTCGTGCACAAAAAGAGCTGTCAAGATTGTGGCCGTGGAGTTTGGGAGTTTTGAAGCGCTTTTACTTCCAAATTTTGTTGCCATGGCAGCAGTGACCCGTGCCACGTGCAAAAAAAGTGCAAAAATTCTTTCCCAAAGGACTTCTTTGCTCTTGCAGTTTCGAGCGCGATGCACCATGTGCACAATGGGGAACAAGAAGAGCAGGTCGTGCAAGCGTCCTGCAAAGAGAAGATTCTCACTGCACCTGTCCAGGAAGCTGCTGAGGGAGTTTATGAAGCTGAAGCAGTGCCAGAGTCCGCCTCGAAGCGCAAGTTGTACGATGGCGTTCCAAAAATAAGAATACAGTGATCATAATAAAAATTAATGGATTCAACTGAGCGATAGTGAGTCGGATTCGGAGGAGAGCTTTGATGGATGTGCGCTGGCCTCGAACTCAGACAGTTGCTCCCTCGAGTGATTCATCGTTCTCTGAGGACTTTCATGGCCCAATCGCTGAAAGTTGTGATTCAGACGCCACTGGACTTGAATTGTTTACGAAATTTGATTTTCTCTGCTTGCTCGTATAAATACTGTGGAGGTGAGCTGACCATTGCTGAAACTGCACGTTCTGGCCTTGCATCCACTGTCAGAATCACATGCTGCAATGAAGAGCCAGTGTTCAGCAGGCACCAGCCTGCCAGTGGTGGAGAAGTCAGGACGGTTTTAAGAGTGCAATCGCCGCAGTGTTCTGGCATAGCGCACTCTGGGAATTGGCCATGTTGGCTGGCAAATTTTTGCGGCCTCATGAATTTGCCCCACCTGTTCAGCTATCTGCATTCCAGCGGCACCAGCGAGCATTGTGCAAGGCAGCAAGGTCAGTTGCGCAAATCAGCATGAACGAAGCAGCAGATGAACAAGACAATGGACAGGCCTAAGCATATAACTGCTGTCACCTATGATGGTACGTGAATGAAGCGCGGGTTTTCCTCCCTACACGGTGCGTTTACGGCAATTGACTGGCAAGTCGGGAAGGTCCTTGACGTGCATCTAGCTTCCAAGTACTGCCATGGCTTCAGCTTGTGGAAAGCTCGCAAGGCGCATAGTGAAGTCACCGCTGACGAGTATGAGAAGT